TGTGATGGTGTTGGTGTTGGTGCAGGTGCAGGTGGTATTGGTGGTGGTGGTGGTGGTGGTGGTGGTGGTGGTGGTGGTGGTGGTGGTGGAGAGAGTTTTCCCCGCCGGAGAACCAGTATGCGCATTGGGCAAAGTTTCCAAATAACAGAACGATATTTCACCCCCTATGCATCCTCGTCTTTGTCTCCCGTTCTTTTGTGTATGCATGGTTCGACAGTAGCTGTCACTGGCAACCTTGGCACAAAGGTGATGGCAAAGCCATGCTCTTCAATTGCCTCTCTGACAAGATGCTACCTACCCAGCCTTTGCTGCAGAAGTCAGACTGCAGGCTAACAACCTCGATGCTTTGCTGCCTCGTGATCAGCTGCTAAATTTGGAGCGTATCATGAAACCACATGCAACACCTCTCGAGAAAGCCAGCCTTGTTGTCTTGATCAGTGGAGGCTGCAACACCTCTTGGGTGGGCCAACTCTATCATCTCAGAAAACTCGTGCCATGGAACGCCTATTCTTTTCCTAGGTTCTCCAGTAGAAAGGGTAGAATAAGGGTACCCTTTTTTCTGTAATCTATTTTAGTAGGGGAACTCTCCCAACCAAAAAAGGGTAAACGGGCACCAATCGCTGGGGGACCTAGTTTCGCTCACCTTCAGGATCGGCGAAAAGACAAACGAAAGGCAAGGAGCCGCCTCGCCGTCTGCCAGCACTTGAAGGTTGACGGCTTCTTGAGCCTGGCGGAACAGGTCGTGCAAACAGCCCGTTGCCCTGTGTGCAAGGCTCAATCTGCAAATAAGTGCTTCTTGTGTTTGTGCCAATTATTCAAGCAAAAAGGATGCCAAGATGAAGACCGGCCTGCGGTGCTGGCTCGGTGCTGTTGAATCGGTAAGCTGGCTTCCTCCTAAAAATCCAAGCCCCATGCTGATTTCTTTCATAAGAGGTCCGGTTGGGGTGGAAGGATCTCAGAAGATTTGAGTTCATGGGCCTTCAGGCCCAAACCAGTCTGAGACGATTCCATATCAAACAGGGATTATGGCTGTCTTTGTCCAACTTACTCCAGGCAGCGAATTCACCCGCACATATGAGCGGACGACATTAAGTCTTCTAATGGACATGGTCAGTCAGGCTTCAAATGAGAGTAGACGCTGGTCAGTGACAAACTTGGGTGCTTTGTCAGTGGAAAGGGAACTCTGCTATTCCCTTGCCAAATCAATTCTGGATATCCCACTCCCAGCCTTGCGGATGATAGGAGCGGCGTTACACAGAGCTGCCTTGAGAGTCGGCCGAGGGCCCGGGCCCCTTCCCGCCGTTTCTTATGCGCTTAGTGATGTGAGCTGGACTGGTCAAAAAAAGTCCAGACATTTGGTGTACGACTTGTCTGAGGTCCCCGAAAGCCCAGAAACATTCAGAAAATGGGGGGGAGAAGCCCAAACAATCCCAGAGAAACATCCACACTGGGACCAAAACCGAATCAAAGAAGGAATCGTGAACACAAACAAATGTAGGCAGGAATCCAAGCAACATGACCATCAAAAAGGCCCACGAGTGCTATTTTGGCTGATTGTCTCAGCGATCTTGCGTGGGCGAAGTTGGCAATGTTGCGAGAACTGGCTGTTCGGAACGCACAGGGGCATACGAGCGTTGAAACTGGTACACGCAATTGATACTGAACAAACATAGATGTGCGTTCACAAGATCGCAACCTCATCATCGCAAACCTCTTGGTTTTGAGAGACTTCCCGCCATAGTTGAATTGCAAAGCCAGTCCACCTGGCCGGTTTCATTGCAGCTAAGGCACCGAAAGCAGCAATACAGCTGCCATGGCGATGTATGACACTTGTGCCCAACTCTTGGAGAAATGATTCTGCTAAAAAGCACTCGGGCTTGCTTGCTCGCCTCTCCTTCAATTCAAAATGCTGTGCAAGGCCTGGCTTAGATAGCTGCGTGACGCGGTGCGACTGGCAAACATGGCAGGGAACCATGATGAATCTCGTACTGTGGATGTCATGCCTGGGAGGCAGTCAACACACGTCACAAACAGCCTTGACCGCACATCACAACAAGATGAAACCCACTAGAATGAATTATCACCTTGCTATTGACAAGACGCTGATTGAGCTGGCTTTGTGAAATGTGTTTACCAGCTTTGCAGCCACCGGTCAACAACCATGCAACACCGGTGTTGGGTCGTCTTTTGATTGGCGCACAAACCCTACTTGGAGAAGCAGTTGTGCAGCTGTCCACGAGCAACCATGAATTCAGCAGGATTCGAATCACCTGGGCCACTACTGCAAATTGCAGTAATGGCGCTGGATGGCAAAAGAGTCATGTGTGGGCCCGATGTGCCCCCAAATGGCTGTTTGTCAAGTTTGGCGCCACAGTCAGGTATCGTCTGGCTTCTTTTCGGAACTCAACAAATGCCAAAGAGAGGCCCCAGTTTGATGCGAAAAGAACATGTCGCTTGCACACGCGGCGCGCCCAACACGGCAACATTCATGTAAACATAAACTCACACACACACACACACGCACACAGCAGCGAACACGCGATGGCTTCCCTCATGGGTCAAAGAGCTGCCAACCTCCTGTCTCTTGTCCCAGTGTGCTCCTTGCCACAGTCAGAGCTGTCTGAGAGCCCCGCAGCGGTCTTGCAATTGGCGTGCAATAAATTCTGGCTCAAGCCCACGGCTTTGTGGCCACTCAAGTTGCAAAATGCTAAATTAGACCCTGGCCGTGAAACGTTGCCAACTTGTGTAAAAATACACTTGTGATAGCTAGCGGTCTTTGAAAAAGCAACTGGTTTCGCAGGAATCAGTCTTGGCAATACGGTAACGTGTCGAGGGATGAAGATTCCAAGAAGCATGCCTGAGCAACCTGCAAACAATAGTGCAGATCTTGCAGCCTAGATTTGATGAATTTGGCTGCCATGCTCATGCCTCGCCTCGCAGCAGAAAGCACAAACCAAGTGGTGGTCCCTGGAAACCATTCATTGTTCTTGGCAAACCACTCGCTTGATGCTCAGGTCGACATGCTCAGGTTTCCTTACTCTGCTTGGGGCATGCTGTTGAGCCCAAACAAGCCGCGGTAGCGATTGGACCCTCTGAGCAGCTACCAGCTACGCGACAGATTCACAGGGAGAAGGCACCTGCAAAGAAAATCGGGACTTTCCTTGAGAAAAATCAGTGGGAGGCCAGTCATTCAAAAGTGAATCGTGACACTTTTCCTTACGAGTAGCTGGGCTGGTCTAAGCACCATGTTCCAACGAACTGAAGCCATGTCCGACGTGAAGGCTTCCCCATGGTGACCTGGTGCCCATCCCGACACTCTTCAGCGATGGGCTGGCATGACACTTCTTGGTTGCTGCAACGACCCCCCTGCAAAAAGCGAACAACTTTTGGGGGCATTAGTGGAACACCCCTTGATTTCAACCAAAAGTTCAAGTCTAAAGATCCGTAACCCAATAGCAGTCAAGACTTGAGGGAAGGACCGTCAGCTGAGGGCTAGCAGATGGTTTGCTTTCGCAAGGCAAGCAAAAGCAGACCACTTCATGGCGAAAGACACCGGAGCCATCTGACTCAAAAACATGGACCTGGCACGTCACGAGCAGATCGTTTTGGCAAGCGCACTTCATGCCAAATTGTCTACGAGCCGACCGTGGCCAAGGGAATGCAGCTCAAAGCCGCGCATCATATTGTCTTCATGTTGACGCCGGATTAATAAAACCCTGTGTATTAATACTGGGGGTGTCCCTGGTTTGAGTGGGAATCATTATTTTTGGAGGGGGTGTTTCCCCCATATTGATGAACAGGGGTTTACTCATCCGGGGTCAACACTATGTCGATGATGCAACAGGTCGGTCCCGCTGCAAGCCGTGAACATGCTGTTTTATCAACGTCGCCCCATTCCCAAGGCTCCAGCCCCGCCTGGTTGGTCAATGCTCAAGCCCAAGCTCCCCGTTCCAACAAAGGTCGAGCGCATTAAAATGCGCATCGCGCGGGGAGCCAAACAATCTCTCAGCAAAAAGATGTGGCTGGAACCAGGGTCCAGAGTGAACGGTCAAACATGTTAGCCAGCTAGAAAGGTGAGGGTGAACTGTCTGGGTAATGTCCACAGCTGGAAAGGTAATCTTGAACTCACTGGATGTCCATTCCCTCTGCCCTCTAAAAACCAGCCAAGGCAAAACAATTGAAGCTAGACAGTCCCATGGGCTCACAATGGAAACAGCTCAGAGCTCGCTGGTGATCTCAGAGCGAACCCGCCGATGCAAGTCAGCCAATAACAAGACTTTCTGGTGCTCAGTTGGGAATGACCCAGGGTTTTGGGAATGCACCTATGGATTTCCAGAAAGGAAACCATAGCCCTTATTCCTCCTGAGAACCAGCAAAACAAACCAAAACAAGCCACTGGACCAGCAAACTGTGCAAAAACAACCGCGAAGGTCCCTGTTCAGAACTGGCCTGGCGAAACCCGTGAACTGGGTTACTGGCGAGACTCCGAAAGGCAACAAGTTGTTCACTTGCGGATCGAGTGGAAAACCTGACCTGTTGCAACCAAACAGTTAACGTCCAAAGATCCGGTACATAGCCATAAAGTGAAGCGTCAAGTTCTGCGTCGAAGACCCCTTCGACGATGTGCAGAACAGCAATGGGAGTACATTTCATATACATCTATCTACGGGGGCACTTACCCCAAATGCACATACCCCACTTTTAGGCCCTTTTCCAGGGACGGAGTTTGCCCCGCACAAACCCATATAACCACCCATTTCTTTCGGGGTATGTCCATTTTCGGTAGGCAAGTTGGCCCTTGGAATATTGTATATATGATCCAGTCTGCCTTGGCCCCCCCCATACCATTACCATTGGGTGGGGGCTGGGGAAGACGGGACACGTGAACATAAATATATTATATATATATATGCACTGTGCACACATACGTACACGGTTTAGTCTATATACGCATGTAACTAGTATACATATGATTAGCAATCCTTCTTGAACATGTTGAAGGGCCACCAAAAGAAAACCACCTCTTTGGCCTGTGGGCTTGGTTTTGACACACAGAGTGTCAAAATTAAGCCACCAGAAAACCGCAGGCATCGCAGGCTTTAGTCCTTCGATCCACTTGGGTACCCACTTTTTGACCCGCTCAGCTGCCGGCCTCAGATCACCAGGGTCGTAGTGGCCAGGGCCGCCTTGCGTGCGTTCATGGCCTTCAGGACGTTTGCGTAGTTCCAGGTCAGGTCCTCGCGGCCCACTTGGCATGGGTTTCTCTAAGCCACAATGGGGATCTCCTGACAGGTTTCCAGCTTGGCCAGCTTGGGAAGGGAATTACTTTTTTTTCCCACGCCCATGCAAATTCAAATGCCAGAGGAACCATGAACGACTCACGAAGAAGCAACTCAGATGCGCTGCATGTGGACCGTGGACATGAGGCACTCGGCCTGCCGGCACTCGGCTAGCCGCTGCGTCAAGGCACGTTTGCTTTTTTGTATTTTTTGAATACAACAGCCACGGAACTAAATAGCTTGGGTGAAAGAAACACCGCTTGACATGGCAGTGGGTCAAAAATATGTACACAAAATGGGAACCCTGGTAAATGGAAACATGGATTAAAACTGTCCCATGCCACATGTTCGATGTATCTGACCTGAGACAAACCGTGCTCACTTTCTGGCCAAGATCAGTAATGGAGATTCAATAGTCGGCAAGACACAGTCCTTGGCAGATTTCAGGCTTCCGTCATTGCGATCGATCTGCTCGTTCATGTGCATTCCGTTGGTCAAGTACTTCTTCATGAGAAGGAGGAGTGCATCCCCTGCGATAAACTGTCTGTTACAAACACCGTTCTGTGAAGAAGTTCTCAACCAGCCAGCTAGCATGAGAAACTGCCTAGTCTAGTACTGCCCAGCAAAACATATCAAGAGATGGTCCAACATTTGAGGCCTTCCACAATGAAGCAACAAGTCAGCGCCAACAAGCAGATCAGACCAGCTTTGCTGGCATTGATTTAAGGGTCTGAACGGTATGGTAGAGAATAACGCTCAGACAAGGTGATAAAAGCGGAGGATGCCATTTAAGATGGGTCTAGGGTGGGTTAATGGTCGGCTTAGAGTTGGTTTAGGATTGGCTTGGGGTTGGTTTACGGCTGACTCCAGGTTGGCTGATTCAGGGCTAGATTCAGGCGCAATCAGGCTGGAATTCGGCTTGGTTTCGGGTTTGTCGGAGGGTGGCTTCGGGTTTTTCGGGATCAAGTCGGTGCTTCGACAGCACGGAAACCAAACCAATGGGCCATACCAAGGGGACCGGAAGCGACCAAAGAGGGGACCAGAGCGACCAGAAGCCCAAAAGCAGACCAAGCTCCGGGAAAATAAGTTCTGCGAAGGAACTTGGTGCCAGCTCCCTCCTCGGAAGCAACCGACAACGTGACAAGCTGTGCTAGCATTTAGAACGTAGACGAAACCATCCACGCGATACGACAGGGCAAGACCGGTTGAGTCCACTGGACGGTGCGATGCAAAAAGCTGGCCCTTTGGCTCGTGCGCATCGCTGCATAGACTGACAGAACTAGCGTCTACGCACATATATATATATATGTATATGTGTGTATATATTATATATATATATATATATATATATTCCAGCAGGCTTCGGCAAAAAACATTGGCCCTGCAAGGTCAGGGATGAGCAGGGTGTGAATCTTAACTTGGTGATCCTCATATTTAAGTGGGTCCCGAGTCATGTCCACCCACTCCAACTCAAAACATCGGCCGAAAAAGTCCAAGCCGAAGACGGTTTGGGATCCGCTGCCCTTTCGAGAAGCGCCAGGCGCGCCAGGGATCCGTGCCTGCGCCCACCAAATTCTGCACCGTCACCTCGCGACCCAGGAGCTTCTTCAGCATTTCCTTGTCCTCGCTCCCCATCAATGTAGTCGGAAATTCCTCGCTTGGGCTGGGACTGACGAAAGGCAGGCAGATGAAGCACCCCACGCACCAAGGGCAACGAGGAAATCACCACAGGTCCATTGGGGGTGTCTTTTTTTTAGGATTTGGACCCCCAAAAAAAAGCTGCTGGTGTTCCTTTAACACCGACCAAGAAAGGGATGCCCTCAAACACAACAGCCCCACAAATTCGAAATCAACCTGCGAATTGTGTGGTGCTTCCCCTGATCGGCCTTGCTTATAGAGATGCTGCCCCGGGATTTCAAAAACCTCTGAATTGTCAGCTTCCCTCTATTTGGTAGTTCACCCCCGCCAACTCCTCAAGCTGTTGATCCAGCTGTTGATCCGTCCAGAAGACGGCAGCAATCCATTTTGCTGCGGTGACGAGTTTTACGATGCTGGAATTGGCCAACGAAACAAAACTGGACATCTCTGCAACAGCCTCCACTTAGCGCTGCATCCCAGGATGTCTCCAAATCGTACTGAAGGAGCTGTTTGGCAGACAGGACATCTTTCACTGGCGCCATGCGCAAAGATGCAGTTTTCCTGGGAAAAAAACCGGCATCCTTTTTGATTGGATGACCTTAAAGGGGAACTCCTCCAAAAAAACAGAAAGGGCACCACTGGGCAACTAGGTTTCGCGGTGATTGCAAGCCAAACACGAGTCAAATGCAAGCAACTCGCGCCTGGGCCTGGCGGTAGAGCAGTGTGGCAACGGAGGCGGTGAGCAAAACCCAAGGGTTGCCGCCGTCGTAGCTGTCTCCTTCATAGCGACCGAAGAGAACTCCTGGCAAGGTACATTCTCGTCAGCAAAGCTTCCAACCTTGCATGTGGTTTTCTTCACTCAGTTGTTCAGTGACCGTGGAAAAAAAGGGAACCCTTTTTGGGGAAGACCATACTTAGTGAGCCACCCAACAAAAAAGGGGAAAAAGGGTGCCACTGAACAACTGAGTTCAGGGTTGCCTGACAAACTTGCTTCCTTGACAGGCGCCAGTGCTTGAACCCTCCACCCGGAGTGCTTCAAACCTGCCAACAGTGATCAGCGAAGCGGAGCAGCATGACACAACCCAACATGGCTTGTCTGCTGGTGAGGCGGACAAGCATCTTCAAAAGGCACAAGACACCGCATGTTTTCGTCTCGAATAGAAAAAACAACACTGTGCCCTGGTCCTGGGTCAGATGTCGTTTGGGAGATGTTCACGGTTTATGAAACATGCTCCGGGATGCTGCTCACAACTGTGAAAACAACAACAAAAAACGGATTGCGGCTTGTTGGCCAACTCATGGCCATGCATCCTGCCTCGCAATCACTTCACCGGGGATCCTCAGAAACAAACTGAAGTGAATTTGTGAACTGTAGCTCTCCACAGCGAACCAATTTCGTCAATCCGTGCTCAAGCCGCTATTCGTATTGGCTCTTTTCAGCCCTTGCGGTTCAGTGGTTCCCCAAAGCTCCTATGCCGAGGCCCATAGAGTTTGGCTCAAGGAGCTGTGACAGGTCAAATTGCCCAGTAGTGACACTGATAAAGTATGTATGCAGATGTGCCCCATGCTTATCTTCAATGTGCTGCAAGTGGCTGTGATAGCTGGATTTGGGGCAGCCGTTGGAAGAATGGGGACAAATGCAAGCATGGTGGACAAAGTTGGAAGACTCCTATGTGACACATGGATGGAGCTATGGAAATGCATTCGCTAGGAGGTCACAACCCACAAAACCACGAGGAAGGTGGCAGTGGATGCCAGAGGACAGGCCCAGAGCAGCCCCATGGCAGTGGGATGATTGGGGAGAGTGGCAGGATTACCCCTCACCGCCACAGAGTGAAGCAGGAAGGGGTTTGAGAGTACTCCGTCAAACAGCGGCAGGGCCTGGTCAAAAGGCTTTTGCGGACTCACCGGCCCGATCTTCCGGACAAGCTTCGAGACCTGGACAGCTTGCTGGCCGAGCACCCGGAGGAGTTTAAAGCCCAGCCACGAGTTGCAACCTGAAAGTTCAAAGAGGCCATTGGGACACCTCAGGAATTTGGGAAACAAGAAAGAAGTCTTGGAAAGCTTCTGGTCGCAAAAACCCAAGAGCTTCTTACGCAACAGATGCAGAAGCTGGCAGCTATTAAGGAGGAGCTTGCTGTTGCTCAGAGCAAGGTGGAGGAGGCCGGTAAGGACTACTGGGCCTACGCCCTTCGCTTTGAGAAGCAAGAGGAGGAGCCTGCAGGGCCGACAATGTCAGAAGGGGGCAGACAAGAAGAGAAAGGTTGAGACAGAGGAGGAGGCCAAAGACTCAGCCATGTCAGGAGTTGAGGCCCAGCGTCCACCCCAGCAGGCCACGGCCACCCAGGTGGGAAAACCTGTGGGGTAGCCTTGGCGGGCATGGGGAAAACGAGGTCAGGATCAGCAGCGCCAATGTTACCCACTACAATTCTGTCGCAAGCAGTTGGGCTGGGGACACGGGCACACAGTCCTGGTCTTGCAGGAGCTACACCTTGATGGTGAAAAGTTGGGGGCAGTGAAGAGCTCTTTCGCAGCCGAAGGGTGGACTGGAGCGTGGCAAGCAGCTGCAATTTCTGGACGGGGAGGCACCCATGGTGGACAATGCCTCCTGGTCAGGAAATGCGTGGATAGCTACGATCTGGGCAGTTTTGAACAGGAAGGATGTGGATGGGTTGCCATCTGCATCAAGTGTGCGAGAAGGACCTGGGTTTGTGTGTCAGTCTACATGCAGTGTGGACAATGGCCAAACGGGCCTCTCAATAGCAGCATGCTGGGAAGTTTGAGAGGTTTTCTACAAGCTTTGAAGCCAGAAATTCCGCGGATAGCAGTGGATTGGAACTTCTCCCCGGAGCTCATTGAGGTGGGCTACCAAGAGGCCGTGCACGGTTGCGTTGTGGATCCCGGAGAGGCGACAAACCGCTGTTGGACTTTGTGCAGCAAGCAGGCGAGGCATATGGTGTTGAGGTTGACTCGGGGTGCCTTGGAGGCCGGCTCTGCACTATTGGACTTGCAGGTGGTCAAGGTGTCGGTAGGTTGACCTTCGGTGATGTCCCTGTACTACCGGGACCTCGGCTTCCTTGGGGAACTGTCGCTAAGAGGGCCACGGTTTCACTAATTCAAAGCCCTGTCGCCTTTGCTGTCGACATGCAGCTAACTCAGCAATTGGCTGACTGGAGTGCCCAGGTGGAGAGCTACCTGGCCACTGATTGGGATCTTCAAGATTCTGGAAGGGGGTGCAGGGTTGAGTTGAAATTTGGTCCCTTGGTCACGCCCCCTGGTTGCAGCGGCGTTTCGGCCAACTCTTGTTTGTCTGCTTGGGGCCCAATGCATCATTGGCTTGAGGCTATTGCCACGCACCGCCGCAAGAGGGCCACGATGGCGATTCAGTTGGTTGGGCATGTGTTTCAAAACGTGCTCCGAGCCCTTGGAAGGGTTTTGCAATTGTGGCAGCCACTTGAAGGGCAGCATTGCACTGGCGCCCATGAGCTGTCCGACACTCTGAGCAGCGTGCTAACCTGCTCTGACATAGTGCGAAAAAGTTGCGCATGGCGTGTGCAACTTGAAGAAAGCTGCGTTGAGGAGCCTTGTGAAGGATAAAGCTGAAGCTTGGTGCGCCTTTGTTGGCAAACTTGTTGCTGGCACTGCCCGGAAAGCCTTTCAATTTGTCAGAGGAAAGAGTCGATGTCAGGCCTTTTCTGGACATGCCTGTTGAGGACAGACCGGAGGCGAGAAGGGCGTTTTGGGTTGCTAGGTGGGGGGAGTTTGCTGAACAGGCTGTTGACGACCCTGAGTGGCAACCCGCATTGAAAACAATGGCCTTGAAGCAGGCTGCTGGCCTAAAGAAGATCAGCAGTGCCCAGGTAAGAGAGACCTTGAAGCTGGTTCCAAACAAGAAAGGCATCTCCTTTAGAATGTTGAAAGACATGCGAAGCTATTTCTGGCCTGGTGTACATGTTGCAACAAGTTGAGAATGTTTGCGAATGGCCCAGCAAATGACCTTGGTTCAAGTTGTAATGTTGCCAAAAAATGAGGAATGCGAAAGGCCAATTTGCTTGACGCATGTGATTTACAGGCTATTGTGCAGAATGAGAAAACACTTGGTCGACCAATGGCTTGCTGAGGACAAGCAAGTTGCACAATGGGACTCAGCGGTCAAAGGAAGCACGTGCTTGCAGGTTGCCTTGCTTCGGCTTGTGAAAGCTGAAGTTGCTCAAAAACTCAGGCTGAGTCAAGGAAGCATGCTTTTGGACCTTTCCAACTAAGATTTGGTTGATCATGACTTGCTTCTCAGGGAGGCCATGACTTTGGGCTTCCCACCTTTGGTCCTGTACTTGTGCCTTGCGGTGCACAAAGGCCCGAGAGTCCTTCAAGCTGATGAAGTGTGCTCTCAGCCTATTGTGCCACAGAGAGGCATCATTGCGGGATGCCCCTATGGTGTTGTGTTTGCAAAGTTGGTGTTGTGGACGTTGATGGCGCAAATCCAAAGGGCTTGTAAGCCCCAAGGAATCAGCACTTGGGTTGACCTAGGTGTTGACGTCCACGGATTCACTCCTAGGGTTGCTGCCCAAAGAGCTGTTGCAATCTTTGAGGAATTGTCAGCTGGGCTTGAAGCGGGGGCTTGTGAGCATTGAAAAATATTCTCAACAACCGGGAAGGCTTCCCAGCTTTGAAAGACACAATCAAAGACCTAGGGGTTGCCAACTCCTTGGGCAGAAAGAGGCGAATTGCAACCCATAGCGGCAGAGTGAAGAAAGGCAAGCATAGGCTTGTCAGGGTTAAAAAGATGCCTGCTGCAAGGAGGAAGTCGACCAGCATGTCTGCTACCCCTGCTGGCTTCTGGCGGCATGTTGCTTTGGGGATCCCTCCCAACAAGCTCCACGCTTGGTTGCAAACTGGCAGAACCCATGAAAAGAGAAGACCCGTGGCACCAAGCCAAAATTGAGCAATTGGCTGCGTGGTTTGCTGTTGTTGAGGCTGTTGGGGAGCCTGGAAGGGCTGCTCTGGTTAGAGCTTGGTGTATGAGTTGGGGGCAGCTTGCAAAGGCGAAGTGCCCTTGGATGGTTGCAAAAGGCCCCTTGGCTGCTACTCAAGCTGTCCTGATGGACGCTGGCTGGCAGGCTCCTTCCTTCAGTGAGTGGAGGGACCAAAAGGGGCAGAGGTGGGCCCTTGACTTTGCTGCGCCAGAGTTGCTCTTTGAGGTGAAGCAAGTTTCTTGGAAATGCATGGAAGCTCAGCAAAGCCTTGCTCAATGTCGCAGCAGCCAAACGGTGGAGGGCTTGAAGATGGCCTCGATGTTCATTTCCACCAGAAGTTTCTTAAGCAAACACCTGCTGGGCAAACTCTGGCGCAAGTTTTGTGGCAGGGTGCTTTGCAGCACTCTGGCAACCCTCGGCGCCGGATGTGCCCTTCTTGCAAAGTTGAGTTGACCTTGCAATCATATGTACAGTTGAAGAAGTTGGGCCTGTGGGTTTTGCTTGGCAGGATTGTGAATCACAGGCCCAAACTGCGTTCTGGAACCGAGGGCTTATTCCAAGAGCTTGGACAGAGGTTGAGTGCCTGGAAGGCGAGGAGCTGGTGACTGGCTGGTAACACCCTCAAGGATTTGATGGTGAGATCCTTTTTGGCACTGACGGTTCTGGTGGGAAGTTTGGCAAGGACCCACGACTTCGTCGTTGTGGCTGGGCCGCTGTGGCTCTGATGGACACAGAGGGTGTGTTTGAGCTTGTGGGGAGTGTCAGCGGGGTTCTTGAAGGAAAAAGGGATATGAACAGCTTCGAGCGTTTGTTGAGGTCCTTGTGAGGACGGGCGGTTGCTGCAAGGTCGCAACTGATGCTAAGTTTGTTGCCGGTGGTTGGAACAAGTTGTCAAAGAAAACGCTTGGCAAGGCGGCCCACGCTGATTTGCGGAGTAAAGCTTTGGGTTATCGGGACAAGCAGGTTGAGGTCTACAAGATCAAGTCCCACCAGCAACGGGACTGTTTTCTTGCCCAGATGCTTGGGGAAGATGAGTGGGCTTGGTGGGCGAACTCCTTTGCAGACACACTTGCTGATGAAAGGGCAGTTAGCGTTGAACCCACGCAGAAGGCTGCCGCCAACGAGTGGATTTGCGGAAGGGCTTGGAGGTTGAATGCTTGGTTGTTGCCAAGGGTGAGGTTTTGGCTTGAGCATAAATGACCCAAGGAAGAGGCTGGAAACGCCCCAGCCAGGCTCACAAAGCAAGCCCTTTACAAGCAGGCCCTTGCGGAGAGCCATGTTGGGCATCAACGGGTTGAGAAAGGACAAAACTTGACCTGCTTGAAGTGCGGAGATGCCATTAAGTATTACCACAAGCTCGAAGTGATGCAAACGTCCCTTCTTACCCCCTGTTCTAACTGTGGGGCTGGTGTTTGTGTTGGAGGTGGTGGTGCTGTTGCTGAGCCTGCACCCCCATATCCATTTCACTCACACCATGGGGAGGGATGTTGGGCAGAAATTTTCCTGCCATCAGTGCAGGGGGAGATTCACTACAGGGGGCCAGGGTAGCTTAAAGCTTAAGCGCCCATGTCGGTGAAGGCTGCCAAGTTTGCGGACCAAATAGGATTCACATGGGATCCACGTGGCTTCACCATGGCTCTTGGTTCTGTCCTGGGATTCCAGCCGCAGCGGCCTTCTGATTCACGGCGTAGCTCTTGCAGAACAAGTCGCTGAGGCCTCCGCTGGACCGCATGGAAACGAGTACCTCATTCATGGACTAGATCCTCCAGTAGAGAGGTTAGAATAAGGGTGCCCCCTCCTTTTTCTGTCATATTTAGGGGAACCCTGCCCCAAAAAAGAAATGGTGAAAGGGCACTACCATGGAAACCATGCGTGTCCTTGTTGGTTGAAAACAGATGGGCTTCCCTGGTAGTTGATTGAACCACCAGGTAAGCCAGGAATCACCCTCTATTTTTCAACCAAATCAACCAAACAGGACACCTATGATGTAAACAAGTACCTCATTCATGGACTAGATCCTCCAGTAGAGAGGTTAGAATGAGGGTACCCTCTCTTTTTCTGTCATATTTAGGGGAACCCTGCCCCAAAAAAGAAATGGTGAAAGGGCACTACCATGGAAACCATGCGTGTCCTTGTTGGTTGAAAATAGATGGGCTTCCCTGGTAGTTGATTGAACCACCAGGCAAGCCAGGAATCACCCTCTATTTTTCAACCAAGTCAACCAGAAAGGACACCTATGATGTACTAGATCCTCGAGTAGAGACGTTAGAATATACGGGTACCCTCTCTATTTTCCTGTAGTAGGGGAACCCTCCCCAAAAAAGAAATGGCAAAAGGGCACTGCCATGAAAACCATGGGTGTCCTTTTTGGTTGAAAATAGATGGGCTTCCCTGGTAGTTGGTTGAGCCACCAGGTAAGCCAGGAATCACCCTCCATTTTTCCAACCAAATCAACAAAAAAAGACAAGTACCGCATTCATGGACTAGATCCTCCTGTAGAGAGGATAGAATAAGGGTACCCTCTCTTTTTTCTGTCTTTCTTAGGGAAACCCTGCCCCAAAAAAGAAATGGTAAAAGGGCACTACCATGGAAACTATGCGTGTCCTTTTTGGTTGAAAATAGATGGGCTTCCCTGGTAGTTGATTGAACCACCCGGTAAGCCAGCAACCACCCTCTATGTTTCAACCAAATCAACCAGAAAGGACACCTATGATGTACTAGATCCTCCAGTAGAGACGTTAGAATATACGGGTACCCTCTCTTGCTTCCAGCTCGCTTGGATCTACAAAACGGTCTTCGACATTTGTCGCAGAGCGCGAGTAGCCGGCGTGCGTGCGCACCCCAACGTCCTCGTGTCCACGGCGTCCTGCTCCCAGTGACGCAAAAGCTGCAGCTCCGAGAACAAGTTCACCAAACTTCTCCGATGCATTGTCTCCGGTCTTCGGAGCGTTGTTTCACCCACAGCAAATGACGAACGTCAGGTCGCAGTCCACCATGTCGTCCTCTGCGCGCGTCGTGCCTGGGCACACGGACAACTTCGCAGCCTCCTCGATCAATCGGACATTCATGTACTGTCATGTGACTCGTCACGGATCCACAAAGAGGCACAGCCAAGGCGAGTCTGAGAACCAGAAAGTGCATGTTGCCAAGACTTTCCAATGATGGCAGGGAAGGGTCCCTCATGGCACCCATCAGCAGCAAAAACAGTTGTGGCATGCTGCAAACTGTTGCTGACGCTTCAACTTGATCCAGAGAGACTGGAGACTGACATGCCAGAGCTACCAGAATGGACCGACCCCTCTCCAAACTCAACCTCAAAACCGCCGTCCAAGTCAGGCGGCTCCTCATTACTGGCAGGAGGTTCATGCGGTTGCACCGATTCTGGCACTGGTGTTCGACGCAGAGGAGGTGGGGCGATCAAGAAAACGGTTGACCCTGTCCAAAGGTGTGGGACTGCCTCTCCTTCCGGGGCTGTGCGCCAGTTGTCCTCTACCTGGGTAGGGGCAAGGGAAGCGTCAAGGGGCTGCACATGCGAAATGCGAACATCACCCAACATGTCCCTGGCTATTCCAGGCGGCAACTCTTCTGGCACATAGTATTGCGAACGCGGGATGCGGTGAATTTTAGTCAAGGTAAAGGTCATGCCACGCCCGCGCGGTGTGGAAATGACCCACGTGTCCCTCAACTGATCCTCACCCTCATTGTTGCAGGGGTGCTCACTCAAGCCCCCACCTTGAAGCGGGAGCAGAACATTCACGGTGCACTTGCCGGCACAGGCTAGCTGTGAGATTGCAACATGCGGCATCACCTGCCTGGCATTCACAACTGAGTGCAGCACACACGTGACACCAATCATCTCCAATCGAGCACCTGGACAAACAGAAATTGCGAAACACATCTAGTCCAAACCGAACACACCTCAGCTTTGCACGTGTCACGTCAATCACCTTCAATCAAACACCTGAGGAAACAAAAACGAATCATTCTGAAACACATCTGATCCGAACCGAAGCAGCTCAGTCTTCGGCGAGTTGCGAGCAAGAAGCGTTGGCCACTCGAGAGCAAACACAAACCACAGGCTGACTTGCTGGGGCCGGAACGCAAATACATGCTGCAAGCTCGGCTGCGCAAATCAACTTCGAACGACCGCAAATCCCACAAATCATGAGGAGCAGTGAGGTCCAAGTTTTGACTTCGCAGGTCGCTTCACTTGCGTTAGAACAGTAACCAGGCGTTATTTTCCCGAAAGCATTGCGAAGGGTTGGGGTCGGCGTGGTCGAGGTGCAAAAACTCGAGGATTTTTGCGTTGTTTGCGGTGCCCGCGCGATCCTCTGCGGAGATCGGCGTGGTCGAGGCGCGACCCTCTGCGGAGATCGTGCGTGTCGAAGCGCTCTCGCTGTGGCGCCGTGCGAATTCTTCTTAGTCTCGGCGAACCCTCTGCGGAGATCGTGTCGAAGCGATCTCGCTGCGGCGCCGTGCGATTTTGTTGCTCGCGAAATGGTCTATGGAAGTTGTCTCGTGGTTTGCGCGCCTGCTTTCGCAATCCCGCAGTTGCGGGTTCGATTCCCCCCTGGTCCGCGGCAGCTCCGGCTTGAACATCGCAGCTTTTAAGTGCAAACGTAGTACGCGGAGCGTGCTCCTGCAGCTCCGGCTGGAAAATCGCAACTTTTCATCACAGACGTAGTATGCGGATCGTGCTCCCGCAGCTCCGGCTGGAAAATCGCAACTTTTAAAAGTAGAAACGTAGCGCGCACACTCCCGCAGTTCCGTCTGGAAAATCGCAACTTTTAAGTACACAAATAGTAAGCGAAGTACATTCCCACAGCTCCGGCAGCACTTGCGCAGAGCAACTTGCGCAGAGTCACTTGCGCAGAGCAACTTGCGCAGAGCAACTTGCACAGAGCACTTGCACAAAGCACTTGCGCAGAGCAACTTGCACAGACCAACTTGCACAGAGCACATGCGCAAAGCGCTTGCACGGAGCAACTGGCGCAGAGCACTTGCGCAGAGCTCAACTTGCGCAGAGCAACTTGCACAGAGCACTTGCGTGCAGCAGCTTGCAGAGAGCAACTTGCGCGCAGCAGCCTGGAACAATGCAGCTTGCGCAGACCACTTGCGTGAGAAATCGCGCATTGCGCCGAGCAGACTCGTGCAGAGCCAACTTGCACAGAGCCAGTTGCGCAGAGCCGCTCGCGAAAAGTAGCTTGCGTAGAGCCAACTTTCAAAGAGCCAAGCTGCGCAGAGCCATCTTGCGCAGAGCTAAGTTGCGCGAGCGTGCTTTGCAGAAACTGTGGCCGTCGTGTAAGCTTTGCTATTGATTGCTTTTCCTTTTGTTTGTAATTCGTTTCGAGCTTTACGAGCTTTACTCTTCTTGTTTTAACGGATGTAAGTATGTGGGATCGAGCACTGCCATGTTTCCTCTCGTAGGACGATGAGATGGAGCTCTCATGTGAACATACACATTGAGCATCGCCGCGTGCAGACACGCTCGCCGCAGCGATGTAAAAAGGTGTCTCCGCGGCTGGATGAGCACCCGGGGAAAAATGCTTTCGGGCCAATCGTCCTCTAGTCCTGTAGTCGTTTTTAGCCCTCCCCGAAAAAAAATGGCAAACGGGCACTACCATGAAAACCATTGGTGTCCTTTTTGGTTGAAAATAGATGGGCTTCCCTGGTAGTTGATTGAATCACCAGGTAAACCAGGAATCGCCCTCTATGTTTCAACCAAATCAACCAAAAAAAACCTATGATGTAAACAAGTACCTCATTCATGGACTAGATCCTCCAGTAGAGAGGTTAGAATGAGGGTACCCTCTCTTGTTTCTGTCGTTTTTAGCAGGGGACCTCCCCAAAAAAGAAATGGCAAAAGGGCACTACCATGGAAACAATGGGTGTCCTTTTTGGTTGAATCTAGATGGTAGTTGCTTGAACCACCAGGTAAGGAAGGAACCACCCTCTATTTTTCAACCAAATCAACCAAACAGGACACCTATGATGTAAACAAGTACCTCATTCATGGACTAGATCCTCCAGTAGAGAGGATCCTCTCTTGCTTTTTTTTGGAGAAACCCTGCCCCAAAAAAGAAATGGTAAAAGGGCACTACCATGGAAACCATGGGTGTCCTTTTTGGTTGAAAATAGATGGGCTTCCCTGGTAGTTGATTGAACCACCAGGTAAGCCAGGAACCACCCTCTATGTTTCAACCAAGTCAACCAGAAAGGACACCTATGATGTACTAGATCCTCGAGTAGAGACGTTAGAATATACGGGTACCCTCTCTTTTTTCCTGTAGTAGGGGAACCCTCCCCAAAAAAGAAATGGCAAAAGCGCACTACCATGAAAACCATGGGTGTCCTTTTTGGTTGAAAATAGATGGGCTTCCCTGGTAGTTGATTGAACCACCAGGTAAACCAGGAATCGCCCTCTATTTTTTCACCAATTCAACCAAACAGGACAACTATGATGCAAACAAGTACCTCATTCATGGACTAGATCCTCCAGTAGAGAGGGTAGAATACGGGTACCCTCTCTTTTTTCTTTCGTTTTTTGTGGAACCCTGCCCCAAAAAAGAACTGGTAAAAGGGCACTACCATGGAAACCATGGGTGTCCTTTTTGGTTGAAAATGGATGGAATTCCCTGGTAGTTGCTTGAACCACCAGGAAAGCCAGGAACCACCCTCCATTTTTCAACCAAATCAACCAAAAAGGACACCTATGATGTAAACAAGTACCTCATTCATGGACTAGATCCTCCAGTCAAGAGGTTAGAATAAGGGTACCCTCTCTTTTTTTCCTGTAGTCGTTTTTAGTAGGGGAACCCTCCCCAAAAAAGAAATGGCAAAAGGGCACTACCATGGAAACCATGGGTGTCCTTTTTGGTTGAACATAGATGGGCTTCCCTGGTAGTTGATTGAATCACTAGATAAGCCAGGAATCGCCCTCCATTTCTCAACCAAATCAACCAAAAAGGACACCTATGATGTAAACAAGTACCTCATTCAGGGACTAGATCTTTGAGTGGAGAGGTTAGAATAAGGGTACCCTCTCTTTTCTCTGTCTTTTTTAGGGGAACCCTCCCCAAAAAAGAAATGGCAAAAGGGCACTAGAAAGCATTGGTGTCCTTTTTGCTGAAAATAGATGGGCTTTCCTGGTAGTTGCTTGAACCACCAGGTAAGCCAGGAATACCCTCCATTTCTCAACCAAATCAACTAAAAAGGACACCTATGATGCAAACAAGTACCTCATTCATGGACTAGATCCTCCAGTCAAGAGGTTAGAATAAGGGTACCCTCTCTTTTCTCTGTCTTTTTTAGGGGAACCCTCCCCAAAAAAGAAATGGCAAAAGGGCACTAGAAAGCATGGGTGCCCTTTTTGCTGAAAATAGATGGGCTTCCCTGGTAGTTGATTGAACCACCAGGCAAGCCAGGAATCACCCTCTATTTTTCAACCAAATCAACCCTCTCTTGTTTCTGTCTTTTTTAGTAGGGGAACCCTCCCCAAAAAAGAGATTGCAAAAGGGCGGAAACCATGGGTGTCCTTTTTGGTTGAACATAGATGGGCTTCCCTGGTAGTTGATTGAATCACCAGATAAGCCAGGAATCGCCCTCCATTTTTCAACCAAATCAACCAAAAAGAACACCTATGATGTAAACAAGTACCTCATTCAGGGACTAGATCTTTGAGTGGAGAGGTTAGAATAAGGGTACCCTCTCTTTTCTCTGTCTTTTTTTTCGGGGAACCCTCCCCAAAAAAGAAATGGCAAAAGGGCACTAGAAAGCATGGGTGTCCTTTTTGCTGAAAATAGATGGGCTTTCCTGGTAGTTGCTTGAACCACCAGGTAAGCCAGGAATACCCTCCATTTCTCAACCAAATCAACCAAAAAGGACACCTATGATGCAAACAAGTACCTCATTCATGGACTAGATCCTCCAGTCAAGAGGTTAGAATAAGGGTACCCTCTCTTTTCTCTGTCTTTTTTAGGGGAACCCTCCCCAAAAAAGAAATGGCAAAAGGGCACTAGAAAGCATGGGTGTCCTTTTTGCTGAAAATAGATGGGCTTTCCTGGTAGTTGCTTGAACCACCAGGTAAGCCAGGAACCACCCTCTATTTTTCAACCAAATCAACCAAACAGGACACCTATGATGCAAACAAGTACCTCTTTCATGGAATGTGATTTGGCAAGTGCTAAAGGTAAGAAATGCCTAGGCCGCAAGTAAGGAACCACAGAAGGAAAGAAACCCAAGACCCTAAGTAACGAACCACTGAAGTAAAGAAACCCCTAGACCGCAGGTAACGCGCCACTGAAGGGAAGAAATCCCCAGACCCTAAGTAACGAAACACTGAAGGAAACAAATCCCTAGACCCTGAGTAACGAACCACTGAAGGAAATAAATTCATAGAACCTAAGTAACGAACCACTGAAGGGAAGACATCCCTAGGCCCTAAGTAACGAACCACTGAAGGAAAGAAACCCCTAGACCCTAAGTAACGAACCACTGAAGGGAAGAAATCCCTAGGTAACGAACCAATGAAGGAAAGAAATCCCTAGGCCCCAAGTATCAAGCCACTCAAAGGAAGAACTCCCTAGACCCCAAGTAACGAACCACTGAAGGCAAGAAATCCCTAGACCCCAAGTAACGAACCACTGAAGGGAAGAAATCTCTAGGCCCTAAGTAGCGAACCACTGAAGGGAAGAAATTCCTAGACCCTAAGTAACGAACCACTGAAGGGACGAAATCCCTAGACACTAAATAGCAAACGACTGATGGCAAGACATCCCTAGACCCTAAGTAACGAACCACTGAAGGGAAGACATCCGTAGACCCTAAGTAGCAGACCACTGCAGGAAAGAAATCCCTAGACCCTAAGTAACAAGCCACTCAAAAGAAGAAATCCCTAGGCCCTAAGTAACGAACCACTGCTGAAGGCAAGAAACCCCTAGACCCCAAGTAACGAACCACTGAAGGACAGAAATCCCTAGACCCTAAGTAACGAACCACTGAAGGGAAGAAATCCCTAGACCCTAAGTAACGAACCACTGAAGGAAAGAAACCCCTAGGCCCAAAACGAACCACTGAAGGAAAGAAATCCCTAGGCCCTAAGTAACGAACCACTGAAGGAAAGAAATCCGTAGACCGTAAGTAACCAACCACTAACGGCAAGACATCCCTAGACCGTGAGAAAGAAATCGATAGGCCCTAAGTAAAGAACCACTGAAGGAAAGAAATCCTTAGACCGTAAGTAATAAAGCACTGATGGCAAGACATCCCTAGACCCTGAGAAAGAAATCCCTAGGCCCAAAGTAACGAACCATGAACCACTGAAGGAAAGAAATCCCTAGACCGTAAGTAACCAGCCACTGAAGTTCGTAGAACTCCCTGCTGAACGGACCTTCATGGGTGAACTTCTATCATGATTCGTCAGTCGAGAGGAACAAACTGATTGAACTGCTTGAGGCCCACTGAGAGGTGAACAATCCATCAGTTGGTCGCGACATTCTGCAAAAACGCTAACGAAACTGCCGCAAACAAATGACAATGATTTCCAACCTGATGCTTCAGTGTTTCACACGTCCCACACTTAAACAACCAATAAAACGAAGCATCCTTCATCCCGACATGTTCTCCATGGGCACCTTTCCTGTGCATTTCACCTGCAGTCTCCACCTTTTAAACATTGGAGTCACGCCGGATTTTGCGCGCGTTCCCACCAATTAACATGGCACCCGACGTTTGGGGGGGGTGGGGGGGGGGTGCTGGTTTTCATCATTTTCCGTTTTAAGGCACCATTTCCTGAACGTCAGGTTTCGGTTGTTCATTGGTGAGGTAGATGAATGAACATCTGTGTAGTCATAGATTGCCTTTGAAACCAAGAGGGCAACCGCATTCTTTTTGTAGATGCACCCCCCCATCGGGTCCTGGAGGCCTTGCGGTCGGAAGACCCCGGCCTGACAGCGTAACTATCACCGGCTTGGTGAGGGACCCGCAGTAGCCGTCGCCCATGTCCCCCACGTTGAAGGCCTCGATCACCGCGGTGTCTTTCTGCCGGTTCCTTGGCCGAGCTGTTGCAACTCATGGGACCCAGAAGGAACTCACAAGGGGGAAACACATCTGGCCACTGGGCCACACATTCCACAGGAAGAGCGAGAGAGAGAGAGAGAGAGAGAGAGATATAGAAATATATGTGTACAGGCAACAGCCTGTCGCTCCTGTTTGTTGCACGCTGTGGCAAGGCCTCTCAATGTGCCCAGGCTTGTCAGCATTCTATTGGACTTGGCAAGCCTACTCCAAGGCAAATATATCAAAACTCATGGCGCACTCCCGCAGGCCAACAAAACTCAGTGTGGCGGCTGGCAGGGTGGGAGTGGCGGGAACCGAGACTACAGAGCTATGCTGTGCTATAGATTCGTACACTGCATCTAGCTTCCATTAAACCGAAAGGCAACGGCCTGTCGCTCCTGTTTGTTGCACGCTGTGGCAAGGCTTCTCAACGCGCCAGGCTTTGGGACCGTTCTCCCAAGCAAGGTCAGCATTCCAGCTGGCTCATATTTCGACCCAAGCTTTTTGGACTTGGCAAGCCTACTCCGAGGCAAATATATCAAAACTCATCGCCTGGCACACTCCCAATCTAAGCACTTCTGCTCGGCTTGCAAGGAGGGAGGCACATGATTCCCATGTTCAGTGCGCTTGCAAAAAAGAGAGGCACGTTCCTGAAAATTGTCGATCAAGGCCAAGCTTTCAGCTGAAAACTGCAACTATATAAGGGCTGCGCGTCCTGAGTCTAGACATTGCCTAGCTGTTTTCACACTTTCAAGATGAACACCGTTTGCCAAGGCATGGGAAGCACCACCTTGTCTGAGGCTGTAACCTGTGAAGTTACAATTCTCGAGGCCTAGCAAGTGCCGGAACTGGTTCGGAGTGACAGCAGCCAAAAAAGCAGTGGGGGGTGACAGGTTTGGCCGCTTGAACCAAAGAAGCCAACAAGGGGTCCGTCACTGCCACGCTCTCCACCTTGCGTTTGGAGGCTTTGGTAGCAGGCAAAGCCAGTATAATCTGACCGGCTTTCTCACGCACATGCACATGTGAAACTCTCAAGCCAACCATCTCGCCTGTTCGGAGAAAGGCGGCAAAACCTAAAAGAATGAGAACTGCCAAAGAGGGCTGCTGTACTGACAGCGCCACGCCGGCAAGAGCCAGGGCCACATTTGAAGGCATGGGAACAGCTTGCCTTGGCACGTGAACACTCTTCCAATTAGCAAAGAATTGGCGGGCGGCAGTTTGAACCAGAGTCCTGCATACGTCACATTAAAGTCAACAAACCACAGGTGTTCCAAATAGCTGGCAAGGAGTTCGTCTAATCTAGAGGCCGTGGACGGCAAATCTAAACTTTCATCATCCTCGGTTGTAGCTGCGCAGCGACCGGGGCTTCAGCCCCACAAGCCTGAAAGAGGAGGCATCGTGCTCGACGGCCAGGCTTGTCGGCAAAATTCCATGCCGACAATGTCCCAATGTAATGGTCAGCTTTGGAGAAGACGGTTAAATCGTTTGGATGGAGTTCGCCCCTTACCAAGAGCTTAATTTTAATTTGTCCCTGTGCAGTGAATCAATGACAATCATCAGCCGGGTCTTGACGACCTCAGGCTCTCTCAGGAGTCGCCTCACGAGCAGTGCTCCACGAAAAGCCTAATGTCTGTGCCCCGATAATGAACACTCCTGAGTAGCGTTGCAGCGCTTCTTCCTCGTTGCCCGTTGTGAGGGGCTTTTCCAGCAGGAAGTTTCGTTCGGCAACCTTCAGCCTCAAACTGCTGTCTGCAAAACGAGAATAGTTCTGCAACTCAGAGGCAATTTGTTGGAACCGAAAAAGATGGTCATTGGGCCACGCGTTCCTCTTCTCCATCTCTCGCCTCAAACTCAAAGTGTGGGCGAACCGAATACACAAACCTGGAGGATACTCAGCTTCTTCCTCTGTCGGACACTGAAGCTCCCCATTGCTGTCGTAGCACGGTTGGAAGTCGAAGGTGAAGCCATGCGAACACTCAGGACTGTGCAGGGCTTCGAACACCTCTTAGCTGTTTGTCAAGACAGCTGTCCATTTCTGACGGCGACCGCCGAAACAGCAATTGGCAAACACTGCCATTCGTACCCCTGGTCTCGAAGCTTGCTTGGTGTACCAGAGAAAACTTCTCCAAGGGTGTTACAGCGTCAAAGCCTTTCCTTTGTCATCCAACTCCCCGCTCTTGAACTCCATCCGGTTTTCCACCATTCGTGCAGCTGCTCCTCTGAGGTGGGGAAGGCCCATGACATTGCTTTCGTCGCGCAGGGCTGGTGAGCCATTTTGCAACTTTCCGTCAACGGTGAACATCTCCCCGCGGGCTCTGCCGAATGTCTTGACGCCAGGCGCATGGTGCTCGCTGGCCACCTGCATATTGTCGAGGGTGTCGCAAATCTCCATCTGTGCACGCACTAATCTCCGTTCTTTGCACTTGTGAATCTCTGCTTCTCCGGGCAACCGCGCAATTCGGAATGTTAGGTGCCTCACAGCAGCTTGCACCACTCCGACGGCAAAGATCTTGGGGCACTTCCATCAAGGCCTGGGGCTGTCTTCTCGTACACGAATGGGCCGCCAACCTTCAGGCATTTTGAAGAGGTTGAAGGCCAGTCCTCGGAGCCAACCACCACCTCACACTCATCAGGGATGTTGAGAAGGCTGACTTGCCTACGCAAGCGAGAGTTGACTCATCTCCTTCGATCTTCTTGCTCACTGCGTTCAAAGGGCAGAAGATAGAGATGAACCGCTGCAGCTGACGGTCTCCCTTCATCTTTCTACACCAGGCCTCCTTCACCATCGACCATTGGATAGGATCTCCTCCTTGGGACATGGTTGGAAGAACCCTCTACCACCAAAGCCTCCCAGTTGGCATCGACGCCCGAACATAGCTCCTCGGCAGCTTGCGGGTCCATAGGAGTCATGACCTGCAACCTCGTGCTCCGAAAATCCTCCAAGGGGGCGACGGCCGTGAGCCGCAGTTGGCCAGCACTCAACGACTCTTGGCGGATCCAACTGCTCCATCACCGCATACGAGGACCCATCATAATCGTGGCCTTTCTTTGCCAGCTCTGCCTTCACGGCAAGAAGCCTTCAGTTGGCATTGAGCTCAGCTGAGTGTTGCAAGTAGTTTGGGCTTGAAAAGCCCGAGCAGTACTGGTAATTCAACACCCAGCAAATTGCCGTCAACCAAGCTCCTGTCGTCGCATCCCACATTTGACTCTCTTGCGCTGCTTTGAGGGAAATCGGCAGCACTTCGTGACAAGCAGCGGGCTTGTTGAGGGCCACAGCGTGCTTCTCAAACTCTGGCAAAACCAAAGGAGCTTGAAGCTGGGACATGCCTTCAAGCAACAAAGCTCCGACTTGGGATAGCTGGTGACGGTCTTCCAAAAACCTCCTGGACTCCTCACCAGCGCGCTGAACCTCCTCACCAGCGCGCTGCAAGCTCGGGCGGCAACCTCATTCTCGTCCTCCTGCTGAGGGTCTGTCTCTGTGATCTCCAAACATCTTGCCATGACGGGTTCAGCTGGTCGCTGCTTCCCATCTGCCTGTGGGGTGGGCTTTTCTTTCAATTGCTTTTGGGCTTCTACTCGGCCGCTTCTTGGGCCGGCGACCTCCATTTTCCTTCGCTCTTCCCGCTCCCTTCGTAGGGTCTTTCCCCTTCACCTGCCCGGCGCCCTCACTCCCATCTTGGACGGACTGCTCTAGGGCTTTGAGGCGTGGGCCACTATGTCCAATCTTTTCCCCATTGTCAGCTGGTCGAGGACTTCTGACCGGACCCGTTGCGTCCTCATGTTCCAGCGATCTTTCAGCATGGGGGTCAGAATGGCGAGGAAGTAGCTCAACGCACACGGCTTCACATAGCTCTCCTTGTTTCCCCTCGTGTTGCCCGCTCCATCTTTTGCAGGAGCCGGCCCGGGTGCCGCTGGGCGTACCTCTGCAACCTCACATGCAGGGCCAGGCCCGAGGGGTCTTTGCTAAAAGGCTGAGTCGAGCTGCTCTCCTCGTCATCTTTACTTGTGTCCTTCGGAAGCAGGGTCGTCTCACCCACTCCGAAGGGGCCCTTGTCCTTCTCAGTTTTCCTTTTGGCCTTCTTCTTGTACTTCTTGTTGCGCATCTTGGGCTTCTGGTCCTTGCGCGGCTGGCTTCTTCTCCTTCGCCTCCGTTTGCTCCACTCTCCGCTTCTGAGGCGGGGCTCTCTTCCTCATCAGTGGCAGTGCGCTCCGAACTGCTCCCCACACACTCATTTTTCTCCTTCAGTTCTTCCAACTGGCGCTTCATCCTCTCTTCCTTCTCGGGTCGGTCTTTCTTTTCAGCTTCTTTCTCGGGCTTGGATTCCCGGCGAGGTGGCAGGGCGCTGAAGGTTTAAAATGCCTTGTCGTCCTCCGCTCTTCCATGGCAAGCCTGAGTCTCCACCATGTCCTGCGACAATGTCCTCCTTTTTGAAGTGATGATTCAAAGGATCCGTGCATCGCGCCCGTAACCCTCAGGGGCAGCATCGAGAAGATCATCCTCTTTCCAAACTCTCTACCGCCACAAGTGCACCGTCACCTCGCGCTGTCCAGAGGCAGTGCACTGCTCCGGCTTGCCCTTGCACAAGTGGTAGGACCCATCAACTGTGGAAACTCGCCCGGCTTTCGAGGCGGCCCACGCGCGGTACTTTTTGTCAGATGCTGAAATGTAGTCACCCAGTATGAAACGGCCTTTCTCGCCTGGGGCATAGATCCGTTTGACCTTGATCAGCGCTGTTCCTTTGGCACCACCGCCGCCATCACCAACTTCACCTTCTATGATCTGATCCTTCGTGGGTGAAGCTACGCTTCCCCTCCCCCCAACCCAGCGCCCGGGCATGGGTTGAAGGAAGGGCGCTCGCTTCTTCCTTGTCTAATCTTCTCGGGGGAATCCCCGGCAAGGCTTCAAACTGAACCGAAACTACAGAGCTATGCTGTGCTATAGATTCGTACACTGCTGCAAGCTTCCGTTTAACTAAAACCTATATATATATATATGATATGATATACTATTTTGATACCCCCCCCCCCAATTTGGGGACCCACCCAGAACCAGAAAAAACCAAACAACTAATATAACAGAAAGCAGTGGACCAATCACACCAAAAAACATGTGAACAGAAACACGTGTGTATATATATATATATATATCAACAACTGCGTTGACAGGACCAAATAAAGCAGATATTACAGAAACGACTGAAACAGGGTCCAGAGAGAAGGAGCCACTTCCAGCATCTGTACTTAAACCAGGAAACACAAACACAAACAGTGGGAAAATCATTTTAACAAAACAGAACAAAACAGAAAGCAACACAAGATCTATAGACAAGTGCTGAACGTGGCTACGCTTCTTCCGGAGGACCCTGGCCTGGTTCCGGGGTACTCTGGACTCTGGTTTTCTGGCTGCACCGAAGGGGTAGCCCACAACAGCCCCTCATCCTCGTTGGTCACTTTGTTATTGATGGCAATCGATTCTATTTTTTCTGAGGGTGATTCCCAAATCAAAGCTTTAGCCTTTTACTTTTAAGGGGCGATTTATCTTGGCCCTTCCCAGTTCTGAGGATTCAAGCCTCAGTTCTAGGAATTATTGTTTCTTAGGTGGCCCCGAACGATCGGTTTATATGACAACCTTTGCGATCCTCTAGCTTTTCCTTAGCCTTTTACTTAGGTTGGCTTTATGTAAGCCCTTCCCACCTCAACGGCTAAGACTCTAAGACCAAGTCTTGGCAGTGGCAATAATAAACTAAGACTTCAGCGGTGCTAAACTACGTACTGGGAATTCAAGATTGAGTCTTGGCCATACTAAATTTAGAATCGGTAAAACTGAATTAAGTACCAGGAGCCTATCATTGGGTCTCGGCATTGCATTAAATTGCGCGATGGTGACACTTCGGTGTGCACATGCAGGCAAACGACGATGTTCAAATTTGCTCCGCCTGAAAAATGGTGGAATAACCCAACAACAATATGATCTTGCTTTCTGCCAGGCCTTTCCTAAAGACATATCTGACCGCCATGGCAAAGGTATCAGGATCTTCTCTGCATCTTCAAGGTGGGTCCCAGAAAGGGGCGGCAGCAATTATACAACTATATGACTATATAAGACTATATATATATATAACTTGGGAAAAAGGAAGGAGTGGAGAACTCTGTTTTGGGCATGAAGGGTGGGAAACAAGCTAACTCCAACAGAGAAAGTTTGTTTTTCAAAGCATAACAAAGGTTTGCCTGGCCGAGAAAAAACAAAAAAACACAGCCAAACAAATACAAAAACAAAAAACACGTTAGTTTCTGGGCCCGGAAAAGACAGGGCCAAAAGCGTGTGTGTTATTCCGAGTGGAACTAACCTATGCGCCTGGGAAGGCGAGCCCTGAAGATCACCAGCTGCGCCGATGTGCCGCATTCGTATGCCCGGGGCGGGGGGTGCGGTGACCCCCGCGAATGTTTGGGGGACTCGGCTTAAACGGGTCATGACCAATTTGTTCAGGGTCATGGAGACTCCAGGTAGTGACTTGCTCCTTGACACAAAGACGCGCATTTTCGCATGCCGAATGAAGCAGGGCACGTGGACTCGATGACGAAGCTCTTGGAGTCGAAGTGGCCGCTCAGCGCTTCTGTGATGCGGCTCTCCGCGGCCTCGCATTTCTTTCACACGCACTTCTTGGTGGCTGCAACGGCCCCCCCTGCAAAAAGTGAACAACTTCTTGGGGGTTTAGTGCAAAAAGTGAACAACTGCTTGGGGGTTTAGTTCGGAAAGCCCAACTGGATTTCAACCAAAAAGTTGTCTAAAGATCCGCAACCCAGTCAAGGCTTGATGGTTGACCCATGGGCCCGGGTCTAAAAACAAGTCCCAAGGGGTCCAGAAATGTTTGACCCACCATTTGGACGGGACTCAGATATATATACTCGGTTGCTTTCTGCTCCCCTGCTAAAAGTTAAACTGTTAGTGGTTTAATGGAAAACCCATTAGTTGGCAAAAAGTTAAAGTCCTAACAGCCAAGCAACATGCACCAAAGTATACATATATATATATATATGTATATTTAAAGTGGCGCCATGATCGGAGATAGATTGATGGACGAAGTGTTTGTCCGATTCCACTGTTGCAGCCTTTACAGAATATGTGTTTCACCCATACCCTTGTGTGATTCGGGCACGAGCCTGTGCCCAGGCAATGGGTAAGTTGGGGTAAACAAGCCACAAAAGAAAGGTTCCCCAAAAGCAAACCAATCCCCGGTCCCAAAGATCAGGGTTTCCCACACACCAGAGAACAACAACCAAAGGAAAACAAACCAAACAAGAAAAGGGTTAACCCGCAACCTTGGTCGACAACAGGCCGCACGACTGGTCCCTACCAACCTGGCGGCGGCCCGAGGTCTCTTTCTCCCCCGAGATGCCGTCGGTCGACGCAGGGGTTCGGCGACGCCCATTCGAGGCGCGACGGAACCCAAAACTTGAGCCAAAACACCACAGGTCGGTCACTAACGCGACGTCCCTGATGATGATATGAACCATGGCTAATCACACCCCCCTCACGAGGAGCCCGTCATATGACGGGTGGAGCGTGCCATTTACTGATAGGATTTAACTGCTCGCATGCGTCCGCAAACAGCTGGACACTACCGCCGTCAGCGGTGGAGCAAACCCACAAAGGCAGTTGCGCGACATCCCGGGCATTAAATTCCCGCCACCACCCCGAATTAATCGGGGTAACGCTGTCCAACAACCTTGTGGAAAAGTCCACATGACGACACTAGGTCACAACTGTTTGCATCAACAATGCAAGAAGTTTAATTCTTATCAGAAGCCATGAAATAAAAGATAACGTATGTCCATTAGTACCCTCGCCTAACGGCAAGAGGTACCCCTGACCATGCGTACCTGGAAAATGCTTGAATTCCGCAAACCCGGGAGTAACCCCCCATCAGTTTGCTTTCCCTCTCACTCACACTGCTCCCTGATGAACACGTCCAGCAGCCCAGCAGCGGTATGGGAGAGACATGACCTCCGCGCCTCAGCGGTTCGGGAGGAACATCATCACCTCCGCACCGCGCCGACCATTGGAGAATGGACGCAAGCCTATCGGCCGCAATCCTCGTGACTCAGCCTACCGGCTATCGTCACGTCTCCTCCGGTCACGTCCGCCCCGCGCACGGTCCCTATCACGATCCCTTTCGGATCTCCTGCGATCATCTCGCCTTCGATCTCGCTCCCGATCGAGTGAATCATCATCACGACGATCACGAGCATCGTCCCTCCTCCTGTCGCGATCATCCTCGCGCCGCGGACGGTATCTGCGCCTCCTCGACTCTCTGGAATCCCTGGTGTCCACGGTCCTAACGGACCTCCGAGAAGGAGTACGGGAAACATCCGATTCCCTACGCCTCCTCCCAGATCGAGAGTTCGTTACGATCTGGTTGAGAGCCTCCAGTGCCGACGCGTCCTCACCATTCCTGATGAACTCCCTGACCTGCTTGTTCAGCACTCTGTTGGTGGAGATCGACAAGAGAGCGTCCACCACCGAACTCTCAGGCAGTACCAGGAAGTGACCCTCCACCGGGCTCGCCGCAGCCCGCTCAGCAGACTGCAGCCGGATCTCCCCGCCTTCAGGCTTCTTTGCCATCGCCTTGGAGGCAGTCAAAGGCGCTACCGCATCCTTTGCCGAAGATCTGCCAAGCGCGGAGTGAAGATCATCCCCGCTAGCTTCTCTCGCTGCCGCACCTGGTCTGCTGTCGACGTCGCCAGGCCTCGTGGATGCCTCCCGCTTTGTCGACTCCTTCGCAGCCTCGTCGGGATCCCAACGGGACTTCCTTTCTCTCTTCTGCCCTTCGGCCGACCCGCGGCTACCGCCGGGAGCGTCACCTCCGCCTGTCTTCTCCTTCTTGACCTCAACCTTCGGTTCGGCCTGCTTCGTCTCCTTAGCCACAGCTTTTGGAGCCGGAGCACTCTTCGCCTCAGATGCTGAAGCAGCCTTCCCTTTCGGCTCGGCCTTAGGAACCGGGGTCATTTTAGCCTTGGCACTCGGCCTGGCCCCTTCAACCACCATCTCGGCCCAAGACTTCTTCGGCTGAGCTGCTGCTGTATCAACCTCCATCGGAGCAGGTCCAGCATCATCCTTCGCCTTTGGGACGGATGGGCTACCGCCCTTACCGGATCCTTTACCTGGCACTTCACCTGATTTTGGTGGCGGGCCGGAAGGACTACCGCCCTTACCGCCCTTTTCCCCCTTCTTCCCTTTTCCTTTTCCGCCCTTGGGGACCGGCTCCTGCTTGGGACCAGGACCCGGCGCAGCATGATGCACCGATTGGAGTCCCTCGATGTCCACGTTCAATGGTTCGGGTTGACGACCGTCAAGAACCGTCCTCACCCTTTCGTCACTAACGTAGACGAACGGGTCACGGAAGGGTGCGGGAGGCTCCGACTGTCCGGCGCTGATCGCCTTCTGCACCTTGGCTATCGCCTCCTTCAACCTCTTCTTCTCATCGTACCCCGTCTCCGATACCATGTACTTCCTGAGCTGCGAAATCAACGCATGACTCTCCAGGATGTCCACGTCCTTTCGATGGGTCGGGTACAATGGGGTCAGATGACCAGCCGCGGAACCAATCACGTAAGCCATCGGAATATAGAATGACAAGTACGTGTCATGACGAGCGAACTTCCTAACGGAAGTCGTCATACGCCTACCCCACTGAGCAGCGTGTCTTGGGTTGGCCCGGAAGTACTCCGTGACCGACTCAAATCTATCGACTTGGTTGGTCTTGATCAGGTGCTTCGCCACCCACTTCTCCACAAACGCATCCGAGGCCGAAATCCCGGACACATAGGAGAATTGGAAGAGCACCTTCGCCAGCTCATCCCACGCCGCATCGACACCTCCCTTGTCTTCACCAAGATAAGGGGGAAGTCTGATGCCACTCTGCACCGTCATCCTCAGATCGGATGCCATCGAATAGGAAATCAAATTCCTCTTGATGACTCCGACCACCTCGGAGGGAATCCTCCTGGGCTTGAACTGCCCCATGGTCCTCACCCATTCCGGCACGATGTGGCATCTTTCGAAGTCCTTTTCCTCCGCGTTGGGGATAAAGTTCGGGTAAAAGACCGGGAGCGCGCACCCGGGACACAAGTGCATCCCATTCGGCATCAATTCTGCGCACCTCAAGCAGAACGTGGCAGTCACATTCAGCCTGATCTCTTCCCGTGATCGCCTGTGCTCTCCCCTAACGGGGGTGAAGTCACCGTAGTCCCATGCCCGATGGTACACTATCGTGTAATCATCGTACATATACGCCGCCTTCCAAGCCCCCATGTGGATCTCGTTCCTAACGGCAAGAGTCTTCCTTCTCGTCAAAAACACGGGTCCAACCAAGGACCAGTGCACCCGAAGATCCACCATTACCACCACGTACCTACCGGAGTAGTTCCGCAGCCTGTCCCTGACATACCACGAAGGCGATACCTCAGCATCCGGCGCCATGGCTCCCACAAGTGGGATCAGGCCCTCATCCTGCCTACCATCCCCAATGGTCTCGTACACATCGGGCCTCGTGATCAATATCTCGATCATGGCCTTTCCATTTCGCCTCACCCTTTGGAGCTGAACCGCCTTCCGAAAGTCCGAGAACTTCATGATGACGTATCCCACCATGGGGAGTTCATTCCAATGCATCTCATACATCAGAGATCCGCCAGGTGCATCTTCCTGAGTATACCTGTGCCTAACGGCACTGTAACTCAAGTCGCGTCCGATCCGCGTGTGCCTAACGGCAACCAACCTGGTGCTCTCCTTGAGGAGAACGCCATCCCCGTCGTACATGACCATGAGCATCGCCTCCACTTGCCCTATCGGGAAAGCTTTAAGCGTCGGAATGAAGAACTTCCAAGACATCTCAGCGTTCTCCATGCCCGAAATCTCCTTCAGGAACCAGATGGCCTGGTCACTTTTCACCCAGTTTCCAGCCTCGCGTCCGGTCTCCTTCAGCACACGTTCCTCAAATAACTCCGAGACTCTCTTTGAATTGATGACCAAGCCGTCGAAATCGCACGAGAGCAGTCTCATCAACTCCTTCGCCGCCTCCCGTCCTGCAACAGTGCCCACGGTCTCCTCGTAGTTCGGGAGGTATTCACCCAACCTCGTCTTCGAGGGAACCACAATCTGGCAAGTGACGGCCTCATCAGGGATAACTCCCGTTTCCCTTAACTCTGGATTGATCTCTCGCCTATCGGCAAGATAATCCTCCTTCCCATCCAGTATCACAAGATTGTAGGTCATCTTGCTCGCCGCCCCACTAGGCCTGAACTTCCTGCTATCATCCAACTGGTCAGGAGCAAAGGGTCCACTAGGGGCGGCCGCACTCACCAGAGGCGCTCCTCGCCCAGAGCAGAGGTGCTTCTTGTGAAAGTTCACCATCTGATTCAGCTGCGATAGTGCGTAGGCACGATCCTCCAATGACTCGCGGGCTGGAGGACAAACGAAAGCCCCTCTGAGACGCAACTTTGCGCAACAAAACATCATTTGCATTCAAGTCTTCGCAGTCGCTCCCAACGTCTTCTGCCATCCTGATTTTCTCAGCCTCTGCTTCTGTGCTTCTTTCCACAGTTTACATTGGCCTAATCAAGGCCAAAGCGGCGAA